GGAATTCTGGGAGTTGAAGTCCACTCATCTTAAAGTGGCCAAGTTTGGACAACATTGCAATCGGCAGTATGGCCTGAGAAGTTCCACTTAAGAGAACCTTTTCCCAGCTAGGTGAAGCCTCCCCCATTTCAGCTGAATTGTATCTTCCTTAGCCAGCATGGGCTACAGGGTGAGAATCAAGGGAGTTGCTATCCAGCATTTTGGGAAGAAGGTTGATCTAAGCTGTGGATGAGCTTTTGGAAAACAGAGGCATGCTCTGTTGCTATGCTATACGTGATTACGTTCTTCTTCATGCTTAGAGGGCTTTTCATTTTGGTATGTTTTTGTTTATTTTGCCAGTTGTCTAGGATTGACTTCCTACTTGGTTTTATATTTGATGCTAATATATCCCTAAGGACCACTCTGGCAAAATAGAAGCACAGTCAAATAAATAAGATCAGAAATGAAAAGTTCATTAATGTCACTTTTCATCTCAGCTTCCTGCCAAAGAGAGGAGATGGGACGCCAGGATTCCATTTTTTCATCTTTTGCAACAACTGAGCGATGTAAGTTGGGTTGTAAGTCTTCCAAGGAAGTTTTGCAACTAAGCAGATGTTCAGTCCCAGCTATTATCAGTGTAAGTCCAACATGCCAATCAACATACATGATTGGATCAAGTGACGTGAATGTATGAATGAAAAATTCCAAAACTTTCAATGGACATGGAATAGATATGAGTATTTGCACTAAGAGAGGGTCTCTAAAGTAGACTTGGGCAGAATCTACACTGATAGAAGTCATTGTCAAAATGCAATCTATTAGCCAGTAGGCACATGCCAAATAGTGCAGCATAATATCCAGTATTTATAATGTGAATATGAAGTGCCCAGTTAGTAACTTTGTACAGACCATCTATTATTGGCAATTGCACTACAACTGTAGGCTCCTTTGCATGCTTTTTAGCCTAATTTCTTTTCTGAAAATATGCAAAGATTTAAATCACAATTTTTTTTTGTTTGTTCCTGTGCATTTCACATAGGTTATTTTTAAAAAGAACTCAATCTGTTCCTGCTAACCAAATCCTTGGGGGAATCAGAGAATAAATGTATCCTTTCTTTCCTGTCCCCCATTCTCTACTCCAGTGTTTCTCAACCTTAGCAACTTGAAGACATGTGGACTTCAACTCCCAGAATTCCCCAGCCAGCATGGCCAGCTGGGGAATTCTGGGGGTTGAAGTCCACACGTCTTCAAGTTGCCAAGGTTGAAAAACACTGCTCTATTCAATTTCACAACTCAGTTTTATCAGAAAACCCAGTGCAGTCGGGGTCAATATCCGCTGGTGACACTGATCAGCTGACTTTGGCTATCTAAAAAAATCCCCCCAAATCTAAGCAGTGTTGGTTCTGGAATTCCTAGGCTATCGACTAGACTGAGAAATTGAAACCATCTCAGAATATGGCAATGGAAACTGCTTCTACACAGCTGCCAAGAAAACTCCACAGACATGCTCAGGAAGTCACCAAGAGTGGAGCTCAACTTAAGGAAAGCTTTTCTACCAATTTCACATTGTCTATTGCCTATTTTTTATATATATTAAAAAGCCTCTCCTTTTTTAAGTAGCATGCATCATCTCTTAACAAGTAACATTGATTGCAACACAGCTTGGAAACACTTTGTACTTGGCAGCACACAGAGGTCACAGTTGCTTAAAAGACCATTCAATACAGCCAGGGAGGGGAGAAAGATTTTAGAAGAAAAAGAATGCTAGGATGACAGCTTGGAGAGGTAATGTGTATCCTGTGAGTGCAGATCCACCCTTCTCATACATTGTTAATGGCATCTTTGGGAAAGCTCCTATAGGCTTCACCAGGGGCCTGGAGGCTCTTTCTACTGGGAGATTAGAGGGGAAACAACTACTGGCTGAAGTAGAGAAGGGAAAGATCATTTGGGCTGTGGTCTCTTGGCAACCTAGGCAATGCCAGGAACAGTCTCTAATGCAGTGTTTCTCAACCTTGGCAACTTTAAGACATGTGGACTTCAACTCCCAGAATTCCCCAGCCAGCATGGCTGGCTG